CCTCAGTCTCCTATGCTCTGTGACAGTTCTTCCCTTGTCTCTCATGATCTGGACAATTTTGAGGGACATTGTTCAGGTATTTGTAGAATATACCACAATTTGAGCTGTGTAATGGTCTTCTTATAACTAGACTAGGGCTCATTCAACTATCACCTCCCCTCTGCCAAACCAATTTAAGTGATAACTGTTGTCCTCTGTATTAGCTTTCTACTGCTGCATCATGATTGCCACAAACTTATTGGCTTAAAATAGCAGATATTTTTTCAGCTCCAGGCAGGGTTAATTGGGTCCTTCTCTGCTCAGGTCTCATCAGCTAAAATCAGGGTTTGGCTGAGCTACTTGTCAGTGTTTCTGGACACTTCCATGCTGATTTTGGTATTGTTAGCATTCAGGCCCTTGTAGTCGTAGCCACCTCCATTCATTGTCATGTAGCCCCTTCTTTCTTCAAGGCTCACAATGGAAAACCCCTCAAAAACCTCTCATACATTTCTTTCACCAGGAAGAGCCTAGTCACCTGATTAGGTCAGGCCCACCCAGGATAATATCTTTTTCTTAAAGCTGACGGTGCTGTAGAACATAACCTATCCAAGGAGAGGCTATCTCATTGTACTTACTAGTACATATGACCCAACCTCAAAGGGGGAGGATTAGACAGGGCTTGTACAGTAGGGGGCAGGAATCTTGGGAGCCATCTAAGAATTCTGTCTGCCACATCTACCACACATAATCCCCAGTGTTGGTGAATTGGACTGAGGGTATTTTGTTTTCTTAGGTGCTCCATGTGGCAGGAACTTGGTAATACTATTCCAAGCTCCTGGGCACCGACCATGAAGAGAGCCAGATCCTTGCTTCTGCCTCTACTGAACACAATTGAGACTTGGCACAACTTTTTCTGGCTTCTGTAATTAAAGATTTTCCTCCCTCTTTTGCTATTTTAACTTTTTTTTGTGGGCATATTTTATTGCTTTTTCATTTTTTATTAAAAAATTCAACAAACCAAATAGAAATTTTCAGTAGGGTTCAGTATTTTAAGTATTGAACTTTACTTGTCAAACTCCTTAAGAAGATCAAATCTTATTTCATTAATCAGTGAAACTAAAGTTCTGGGTTTGATTATATTATATATATCATATTATATTATATTATATTATATTATATTATATTATATTATTATATATTTACATGATATATAGGGATTTGAAATATATATATTTTAGTTTTGAATACATATCAAATAATAAAAACAATAAGGAAAAAGATATGATTCTTCAGCCATTTTACAGGCAAATCGTTTTTCTGGGGGACAAATGCCACCTAATATTTGCACTACTCCTGAAATATGCTTAATAAATTGAGGGCTAATCTATATTGTGAGTATAAATAGGACTAAAATCAAAAGCACAATTTAAACAAGAATAATTTATAGGTTAAAAGGAGTAATTTTGTGACATGATCGTGGATGCCATGTTACTTCTGTGCAGGCTCCTACCCCTTACCCCCCTTTCTTCATTTTAAGGGTCCGGGGAATGCCTATGCAGCTATCAAAAGCAAATTTCAGGCCAATGGGTGACTGTCCTGCTGTTGTTACCTGTTACAAAGAGTCTCAGCTCAAATAATACAAACAGGTCTTTTTCCATTCACTAATTTTGAAGTGGTTTCCCCATGCTCTTTTCCTTGAGAGACCATGACCTTACATTCTTGAGACACTAAATTGAAGGGCAGAATTCCAAATCTAAGCCCCTTTTTCTCACCAGGGTGCTTGGTCCCTGGGATCTCCAAAACCCAACAGCGGACTAGCCCTACCCTGACACTTTGATCTTTATTGCATAGCAATTTAATTGTTGCCCTTATTTACCAGTTGGAATCCATGTCTACTTTATCCACCTCAGCAGCCTACCTTCGGAGACTCCTTCTTTTATTTAAGGATCTCTTAGGCTGAAGCTCCCGTATGGGCTCTCACTTGACTGGACTCTGTGCCTACTGAGGGCCAACTAGGAGAGTCTGAACCTGGTGGGGTCCAAACATGAAACAGTTTTATTTTTCTTCAATTACTATTTCAAACATGTTTGGTCAGATCTTAATTTCTTTGTTATCTTTCATGTCGTTTTGGGTAGCTCACAGGCTTTCTGTTAATAGAAAATGTAGCCTAGTCTAATCCAACTTATTTGTGTCTCACATCTAATGTAGGCCTCATCTCCATTCCCTTAGAATTTGTGAGGATTCAGCCTCAAGAACTTGGGGAGGGGAAGTTTAATGGTCTGCTCTCTCTTTTCCTCCCTTTTGTCTCCTGGCTTTCTCTGGTGTATTCAGGAGGAGGAGTTAGAGAGGATTTAAGTCTTTCCACTTATAGAGAGGAGTTAAAAATCTTTTCACTTAGCTGAGACTGAAGGAAATTTCTCTCGACTATTAGGCTTCTCTGGTTAACATTAACTAGCCATCACTGCTGTCTGCATAATAGGCATCTAGGACTTTGCCCCTCAATTGCTTCTAGATTCTTTACAAAGATGCTATAGGAATGATTTGCTTAACTCCAGCTGTGAATGCAACCTGTAGGATTGCCAGATAAAATATAGGATGCTCAGTTAAAATTGAATTTCAGATAAATAAGGGGCAAATATTTCATGGAACATATTTAAACTGAAGAGCTTTATATCTTGTTTATTGACATTGAACTTTAGCTGGGCATCCTATGTTTTTATTTGTTAAATTTGGCAATTCCAGATGCATATGGGCAATACAGAGCAGCAGAAAATCCCACCTTATATCTGATTACTCTCTTAGGTGCTAGGTCCCATGCTAAGCATTTAACATAGCTTATGTGTTATTTTGCAGGCAAGTATTATTACCAACTTGCTACAAGGGAAACTATTGAAACTCAGAGAATGTTAGTGAAATACCCATCATGATTCACAGACACACAACTGGTCAGGGCAAGAGGGAGGGTTTGGTTTCAGGTCAGTGATCCTTATGTACACTTTATCACACTTTGGGGTGTGTGTGTGTGTGTGTGTGTGTGTGTGTGTGTGTGTGTGTGTGTTTTCCCCTGCCTACCCTCAGCCCAGGAATCCTACTCCTACTCTCTGCCCTCTATTTTGGATTCACAGCCGCTTATCACTCCCACTGGTCATGTGCCTTCAGCTTGGATTTTCTGCTCCCATCACTGATGCAGGGCTGTAACTTTCTCCTGGAGGTTAACTCTGATTAAGTGCAAGTGGATAATCTTTATTGTTTGGTAGCCAACGTTCCTATATCATTTTTTTTACCCTGGTACATTGATTGGCAGAGGCTTAGAGGAAACTTGAAGGTCTCCTCTGCTTCTTTTCCCTTGAACATAAAACAAGCCCTATTTTTTTCCTTTATTGATTAAGGTATTACAAATGTGTCCTTATCCCCCCATTAAAAACAAGCTCTATTTGAATGACATCGTACTTCCTCTCTTCTGAGTCCCACTCAGTGTCTTTTCCAGGGTGAGTGTCAAGAAGGAAAAGAGCTCTCGGAAAACTGAAGGAGGTGCTTGTCCACCATATCTAGAAGTAACCCAGGTTCTTCCTGGTTTTCTTCTTGCCAAATGTCCCTGCTCTGTGGTGCCTCCCATGTCAAAGATAAACAAAGACAGTGTTTAATCAGCAGTACCCTATGGCAAGAGTTGGTTTATGTGAAATTCATCTGCATTTGCTAACTGGCACTTTCTGAAGTTCGGGTTCTACCCTCCCATTAGACACTGAGACACAGGGACCCTCTCTTCAGATGCTGGTTGGAACAAACAGCAAATTCCTTTTAGAAACCTTGAATTTTCTCAGGTAGGCACTTTAAGGAGGGTACGGTCATTTTCAGGTAGTGGCCTAGAGCTGTTAGAAACTATGCTAGTGTCTGTTCAAGTCAAGGTTGAGGCTTAGTTGAGAAGAGGGCTCAGAGGAGCCTACCTGGCTAGTGTTTGGTCAAGGATAGTCTTTGTCACATTTAAACTTGAGCAGAGGAGGGATGACTCTGTGTCAGGCTCTCTACCTTCTTTCTGCAACTAGTTGGTTTACTGTATCAATTCCTAAATTCCAGTCTATTTAGGATTTCTATAGTGGCTTGCCTTGCTTTCCTTCACTGCTCATCCTTGCTGTTTTCCAGGGATAGCTCTTAAAGATTGGGTGAGGAATAGTACATGGGCTATAATATGAATGGTGGAGAAAAAATAAGATACAGTTTAAGACTACAGCAGACACATTCAGACAGTGACTGAAAAGGAAATTTAAAAAATGTAATTTGGAAATGTATGAAGAATGTAACAAAAACAGTAAATGAATGAGGAGGAAAGAAGATTTACAGAAAAATTTTGTAGAGTCAGATGTACTAAAGATTTACACCCATTACCTGTTTTAAACTAGTGTCCAAGTATAATTGAATAAGTGCTATGTAGTAATTTATTGATAGTCTCACTACTTTCTCTGAAGTTGTCTGCAGACTGTTTAGTGAAAAAAGACGCTGTCTTTGGATGAGTATGTGATGGGTCAGTGCTTTTAGGTGTAATGTAGAGGTTCACTATTGATTAACACATTATTTATGAGAACATTTTTAAAGGAGGCATGAAAATATATTGCAACATCGCAGGTAATACATTATAATATGCTGAACATTATGAGAAACGGCGATTAGTTCTAACCTAGTATCAAGGAATATGTGATATGTCTTAAATCTTTGAGGCAATTTAAGGTAATAATGAAACATCCTTTATTTTTTAATTTTGGTGTTAGACATACCTACAAGGTGCTAGAATGTCATACAAGCTCTGTGATATTGATTAATTCACTTTTCTAAACCTTGGTTTCCTTAAGGAAATGCAAAAAGTAATGTTTCTATCTGAGTGGTGAAAATTAAGTGATTTGCACACTGCAATAGCTCAAATGGTACTATATCATCATCGTTGTCATTGTCGTCATCGTCATCATGATTATTGTTACCAGTGGGACATTTGGGTAATGAGTGGTTTGGGTTTTTTTTTTTTTTGGGGGGGGGGTGCTTTCGGTAAAAACTGGAAGACCTGCTAGACAAATTCAAGAAGAGCTGTAAGCACTGGGTATGTCTTTTCTAATAAGGAAATACTACTTCAGTCAGTAACACTATTTATGGCCTTAAGAGAACACTAACATGCTATGGCAACTATCTTAAATTCTGTTCCTATACTTATCCTATATAATAAAAGCCTAATATGCTAAGTGTTCGACTGTTCATTTGACTGTTCGAGCAGTTGCTGTGATGCACACTGACCATCAGGGGGCAGATGCTTAGACTGGTAGGTTAGCTTGCTGCTGGGGTCTAGCTGATTGGGACTGGGTGAGACAGGCCAGGCACACCCTGGAGCCCTCCTTCAGTCCCTCCCCAGGTACCATCATGCACTGGTGGGGTCTCTTGGCCTGCCTCTTGCAATCTGGGACCCCTTGGTGGCATGTCAGAGAGCCGGTTTTGGCCTGAACCCCACAGGCCAGGCTGAGGGACCCCACTGGTGCACAAATCCATGCACCAGGCCTCTAGTTCACAATAAAAGTCACAAAAGAGGGTCAAACAAGAAGTTAATGAGGAGTGAGCATATCTGAATTTTCATTCTGGTTTGCTATCCTTTGTTCTGGGATTTGGGAAAGGTGTTTCATATTCCTAATCTAAACAAAAATTACCTATAAAATGGAACATTTGGAGGAAATAATTGCAGATATCCCATTCTAAAAGATTTATTTTAGCTATGGTTATCTATATTCAGAATGATCTACTAGAGTAAAATTTCTACAGAGTTAAGAATAGTCAACTCATAAGTTAAAAAGTCAACTGTTTATGTCTTTAGCTTTTTCCAAGTCATTATCTGAAGTCCTTGCAGTTAGGGTAGAGAAAAAAATCTAAAATGAGAATTTTATTATTCTACAGTTTTAATAAAAAGTAATTTTTATTATGAAATTTATATTTCTCTATTGTATCAAACTCAGAAAACAGGAAGCTATCAAGAAAAAGTGAAAGTCATGTTATCTATTCTCCCTTACAATTCTCTAACCACTCTTGAAATTAAACCATGAATTTTCTAGAAATTTAAAATGCATATATAAATACAGTTATAGAAAATAGGGCTATGTAATATTTGCCCATCTCATTTAACACTTTTATCCTGGACATTTTTAGAATTATACAACCTGATTATATTATCATTTTTGACAGCTGCATGGTATTCTTTTGTAAAAATGAATCAATTTATTTTCCAAATCCAAAACAATGAACATTTAATGTTGTTTGGAATACTTAATTGTAATAGGCAAATGTTATCTAGGAAATGTGTGTGTGTGTGTGTGTGTGTGTAAATACATGTAAATATACATATATATTCCTATTTATGCATTAAAATGCCTATTTATGTAAACTCAGTATTGAGTATTATTATTCTCTTAAATCTGAATCAAGATGCAAAAAAAAGCTATCTCATTGGCCCTTTCATTTTTATTTATTTTTATTGGTATTGAAGCTGAATATATCTTAGTGTGTTTATTAGCCATAATATGGTACTTGTCTATTTCTTAAAAATTGTGTAAGAGCTCATTTTTTATAAGTGTATTGACTACCAGTCTGTTCTAAATATTATAAACATTTTTAACTTCATTTTCTTTTTTAATTAGTTTAAGGAATTGAGTTTAGGTAACATTTAGGAATTTTATATATCAAATCTAGCAGCTTCTTCTTTTAAGTTGTGCCTTTAATGTCCCGTTTTTCTCCAATCAAAGATCATAAAATATTCATCAAAATTTCACTAGGTACTTTAATCCATTTAGAATTTACTGTGGTTTCTATGAAATGCTCACTTCTACTTTCAGTGATTTCTACCTGGACTACTTGCGTTCTGTAGTTACTCACATATGTTGGAGGGGATCTGAATCAATGCAAAACCTGAAATAAGGCAGTGACTAGTATTTCAGATACACTCCTGACAGCTGGCACTAGGCCCTGCTGCTCCTAGCCCGCCGCCTGAGTTGTCCACAACACATCACAAGGGGGAGCCTTCGTGCTTTAGTAAATACACCTAATGCTTCCCAGGCCACCCCTCTCATTTGTAGTTTTTTGTCCAACCTCCATAGTTTCTGTCTTGATCATACAAAAAGCAGTGTGGTGAGATGGTCAGAAAAAATAAAGAAACCTGAAAAAATTAAAAATTGAGCTACACAAAGCAAAAATCCTAAATATTACTAAATTTGAGTTGAAAATATTTTCCTCTGTGCATAGGAAAGAAATTTAAGATTATTCTCTGATTTCCCAATAATTGGAATACATTTCCTTACCAATGGCATTCAGATCCATATTTGAAGTTGAGGACTTGAATGAAAAGTAAAATGAACTGTTATATATTATGGAGATTTTTTCTGCAGTTTTTGTAAGCCAGCATGTGTCAAAGATAACATGGTGGGTACTACCAAGAATATTCCCATTTTTACTTATCAGTTGGTCATATTGTTCATTTAATTCAGTGGTTCTCAACCTGTGGGTCATGACCCCTTTGGCGGTCGAACAACCCTTTCACAGGGGTCGCCTAAGACCATCCTGCATATTTACATTATGATTCATAACAGTAACAACATTACAGTTATGAAGTAGCAACAAAAAAAATTTTATAGTTGGGTCACAACATGAGGAACTGTATTTAAAGGGCCAGAAGGTTGAGAACCACTGATTTAATTAAATAAGTTTGCATTTACCTCCACCTCTTTGTACCATTCTTTTGCAGAACTCTGTTATCTGGCCATTTGGGGATCTAAAGTGAATAGAAAGGGTGGTCCTATTTGTGGCTAATCACCAGTATATTGATATTTTTCTAATATCTTTCCTTAGTAAAATCAGTAATGATATGGAATTGTATTTTGAGTGGAAGCTACTTGCACTAGGCCAGTTGTTTGCACTTAGCCCTGGAAGGAGAAATGTGCGCTCTCCAGCAGTCTCTTTCCCTGGCTGATCTGCTTGTAAGAATGTTTGGATGATAGGCAGGGTATAAATGTGAAGTCCTCTTAGAAGAGGGTAAAACGGCTCCCAACTACCCTTAGAGTACATATCCCAGGCTAAACATATGGCCTTGTCATCACAATTTTCCACATTCCCTTTCTTGTGGTTTTAACGTTCTACTTTTATTTATTACCAGAAGGCCTTATCTCTCCAGCCTGCTGCTACAGACTGCGAGGCCAGGATGTAGTGAAAGCACAAAGTAATGAAACAGATGATCATAAAATAGAAGGCAAATAGCCACAGCCTCTGTCTGTGTTATAGCTGCTCAGGTTCTATAGCCTGAGCCAAACCGTGCTCGAGAGACATAATGTCACACAGCGCCAATCATACTTCCATTCCCGTTACCTTTGGTATCACCAGAAGACCTTCACCTCTGTGAATGTCAAACCTTTCACAAGCTTCCAGGAAAAGTGTCAGCTAATGGGAGAAGGGAAAGAAGACAGCTAGAGGACCTTGAATGCTAAGAGGCCACTTAAAGGGCAAATAGCAGCTCAGGTGAAGAAATGTCATGCAAATGAAAGATCTGGTGGGCTCAAGATGAAGGACAGTGAAAAGGAAAAGCGATGAACGCTGCTAGATGATATGGTCTTCTGCGATTTCCCCCCCCCTCCCTGTGCGGCCCATAGCAAAGTTATCAAACCAGAGCCTCATGTCCGGTGATGAGTGACTGACAGGTGGTTGACGGCAGCAAGTTGGAGGACCGTTAAATTGGGACTTTCCAAAAGCTGGTCCAGTTTTGGCCAAACCCTGTGAGTTGTAGTTAGTGCCAGGGATTCTCAGGGCGGTCTGCGTCTGTTCCTTCTTTCCCCAGGCAGAGCAGGAGGGGGAGGAAGAAAGCGGAATTTGACTCATAAGCCCAGATGCCATGTACAACCATCTCCAGAAATGTCACATCTTCATAAAGCGGCTTTAATATTTCTATAAGTATCTATAATAAGATATTTTTTTGTTCTCAAATTGATAAAGATTATTAAGTGATACTATATGGTGTTCATAAAGGATAAATAACTGAGAACTCTAATACGTGATTGAATTTGTATTGTGAGTTTGAATTGAAACTACATTTTGAAGGACAAGTCACCAACATCCATTATAATAAAAATGTATTAAACCCTTTCACCTAGCATTCCACATCTAAGGATTTATTGTATGGAAACAATAATATAATGAATAAAGTGATATGTTACAGCATTACTTATAATAGTAAAACAGAATAACCCAACTGTCTACTAAGATAGATATTAAATTAAATACTAAAAATGTTAAGTAGGCATTAAAAAGTAAAAAGTAGAACTATATACATTTCAGTTGCTGGGATATACCACTTAATAGCCATGTGAACTTGAGCAGATTATCTTATATCTCTGTGCCTCAGTTTTCTCATCTGTGTAACAGACATAATAATAGTATCTACTTCAAAATGGTTCATGAGAAGCAAATGGGTAGTACATTGTAAAATGCTTAGAACAGCCGTGGGCAAACTACGGCCCGCGGGCCGGATTCGGCCCGTTTGAAATGAATAAAACTAAAAAACAAAAAGACCGTAACAGATGAGTGGATTAGAAAACTGTGGTACATATACACAATGGAATACTATGCTGCGGTAAAAAAAAAAGGAACTCTTGCCTTTTGCAACAGCATGGATGGAACTGGAGAGCATTATGCTAAGTGAAATAAGCCAGTCAGAGAAAGATAAATACCACATGATCTCACTCATTTGTGGATTATAGAGAACAACATAGACTGATGAAAAGGGACAGACCCAAAAACTGAGAAACAGCGATCAGGCTATCAATCCCCAGAAGGAAAGTAGGGGAGGGCAGGGGTAAGGGGAAGAGATCAACCGAAGGACTTGTATACATGTATATAAGCCAAACCAATGGACATGGACAACAGGGGGATGGGAGCATGAGTTTGTGTGTGTGGGGGAGGTTGGGGGTTAATGGGGGGGATGAGGACACATTTGTAATACCTTAACTAATAATAAAAAAAATAAATAAGAAAAAAAAACATTAAAAAAAAGAAATAAATTATAAAAAAAAAAAGACCGT